TCCATTTTCATGTATGTTTTTGTCATTTTAGTTCGATTTTATGCGCTTTTGTCTTCATTTTATATTTTTAGGTAATAAAAGGGTTATGGACCAAATTAGAGCAAAATAGGCAGAAAATCATGCATTTGCAAGTCATCCTAGCACAAAAGATTTGAGGCTAACACGACTTGATTGTGTCAGCTGACATGGGCCGTGTTGGCTCTTGAAGGTGCACCCATAGTAAAAATATGAGGAAACGACCGTGTTACTTGCCACGAACCCCCCCCCCCCCCCCATGTCAGGCCTAGTTTATGCTGTGAACTTTGGCATTTCGTAACATTTTCCCGACTTCTAGACTCCTGAAACTGCTTTTCTCATCCATAAGTGACCATTTATGATAGTTCACGAAATTATGAGGGATTAAGAGTTTTTGGAACGTTTTTATGTCTTTTGGACATCCATAACCTCCTATGACTCAATGTTAGTGGGTGTTAATGATTTTTGTGACCTTTGGAAGCTTAAAACTAACTCAATTCAACTCTTAGCAGTCCATTATTGTATTAACACGAATTTAAGGTGATCAAATGAAAATTCTTGTATAAATAGTAGTCATTTATTGATACTCCCTCTATTTTTTTTTATAAGTCGTTTTAGACTTTTTATAGATACCAATGAAGTTATTAACTTTTACTAATTTTGTAAATATATCATAGGGTATTCCAATATTATCCTTTTTAAAAACACTCAAAATTTCTTGTTTCAAAATATACCAGATTAATCATTATGATTTGTCGATGGAATATCTAGATTGCATTTATTCCAATATATTCCATGAATAAAACATTAAATTAATTAAATTTATACGTGTCTTTTTCTATCCTACACTAATTCCTTATTTTTCTCTCTCCCAAATTTTCCATCACTCACCAAAAGATACGCTAAAGCACTCTGGGAGAAAAAATTAAGATTTTTTTTTTGTTAAATTTTCCCCTCCAAATTCTTATGGCTCTTCATTAATTTTTTTTTCAAATTTCCCTCTAAATATTTCATTGTTCTTCATTCTGGGATTTTTTTGTTAGAGCATCTTTAGTGGGAGTAAACTAAATGGGTAAACTAAGATACTTTTTATGGGCCCAAAGTGATTTGTAGGATTTAAAAAATTTATAGTTGATTTGAGTAGTTTTTACTTTAATGGTGGTTGTCTATAAGAAACCAAAACTTGACCCCACATTTTATATTTTTTATTCAAGTTACCGTTAATTTAATTATTTTAATTAAAATACATATGATTTTTTAAATAAAATTTACCTTAAAAACTTAAAAATAATATTAAATATATTTTATTATAAAATTAAAAATGATACAAAATTCACAACAATAATACATAAAAAAAATTACATTTTCATAGGAATATAATTATAATAAGGATTCGATTGGTTGGGATCCATTTGATAAATAAATAAGATTGGAAATTGAAAGAAAAAAATTTAGAAGTAAAACTGTGTGTAAAAAAAAATAAAATTTCTATAGAATTTATAGAAGGTAAAAAATGATAATATGACCGTTATTATTTTCAAATATCATATCCTTGTTGGAATATTTTATTAATATTAAATAATATTATAATAGGTTTCACATAGTTAACCTTAACTATATAGATAATGGGAACTAAATTTTAGTTCATTTGGATGCCATGTCAGCTCTCCTATAATGCAAATTCCTTATTACTAACGTAAGCTATAAAGAATTTTGGTTTAACAACCCTGTGTTAAAGTTGCTCTTATGATAGGAAGAAGGATTAAAAAATGCACAATATATAAAACTTGAGAATTCACATTGAGGAGAGATATTTCTGAGTTTTAATTGGGAGTTAATATATTCTTAAGAGAGAGGAATTTTGAAAAAATCACAAATTAATATAGAGTTTTATGAGAGGAAGACTTTTTCTATAAAAAGTTGGACTAATGCATTGAAAAACAATATTCATAATGTCACTCTGCATTGGAATACAAGATTCACTGAATTATGAAAATTATAGAAAAAAGAGATGAATTAGGGGTATTTTAGGAAGAAAAAAATTAATTCTACATAGAAATTACAAAACGACATATATTTTGGCACAATTGTTTTTTCCAAAACGACATATAATTAAAAACGGAGGGAGTATTTAGGAGGGGAACACCCAAGGGTGACACTTAGGAGAATCACTTGTTACTTGCTTCTACTTTGTAACTCTTAGTTGTACTCATTTCTCTCATTTGTAACTCTGCAATGTTGCTGTAATTCTTTGGTTTTCTTTTATTTAATTAAGTTTGCTTCAATTCAGATTATTTATATTGCTTTATTCTATCTACTTGCATGTATGTCTTTTATTTACTTGATTATTGTTTACCTCACCATGAGTGAGTAGTTTTATAAGGACAAATGATCATGATAGTCTATCTCATGACGATCCTCAATTGTTTTATCCGAATATGACTTGCAAGAATAATATGTAATATTATTTTAGAAATCTGAGTCCTTAAAAATATTTGTGTCGGTTGCGAAAGCAAAGGCAACCCAGATACAATCATAGTCTGAAAGGATATGAATTGATATTGGGCCACAGATTGCTAGACAATAGAGTAGCGAGGCACCCGTCGTGACTAGGTGGCTTGATCTCGATTAAGAAAGCCCCTTAGCCATGCCATAAACACGTCTAAATGCGCATCCCATAAAAGTGGGTGTCGCACATATAGATCTACTTTTCTATAAATTACTTAGATATTCTCGTTTTCAAATAAGGATAATCAATAAGGTGAGTTTAGATAGACAATCATAACCCCGTGTCCTATTTTATTTATCTGTTAAATTTTATTTCAATCTACATTAAACCAACCAACATTATGATCACTTTATCTAAACACCATTAGGATAAAATTCGATACTCATATGCATTTCCCTATGGGTTCAATCATATTATACTACTTGGCATTTCTACGCACCCGCGGTCGGGGAACATCATTAATGCACGAGGAACAACATCATTAATGCACGAAGAACATCTTTTCCCGATCAAAACTTTTCACATAAACCTAGACACAAGTCACGTACTTCCTACTTAATATTTCCCCCAGGGTCGGATTTACGGTGCGACCTACCAACGTGGATGGACCCCCTCCCCCCCCCTTTATTAGCGGCATTTACAAGCATATGTAAGGAGTCTTGATATTCAAGACATGTATATACTTGATTTCTTTCAAAACCAAGGTTGTCGATACTTACCCACTCGTAATACAAACACATATCCAAGAACTCCTTACTATTGTATTCCTTAAATAATCCTAGGGTTTCTTACTTCATGAATTATCTCCTTTTAATTTACTAACCAAGTATCAAGCCTTCAACATGATTCATTAACTAACTAGTACTACTACTTGATCTAGATGAATTTCATGTTAATTTAATACATTAATCAACAAAATATCACATACAAGCATAGAAAAAGTATACACCATCAATTACACAAGTTATGGTTCAAAAGTTAACAAAGGAATGAGTCATAGGTGGGCTACGACCACCCGTAGTGGATACTACAACCTATAGTTGCACTCCTCTCTCTCTCTCTCTCTCTCTCTCTCTCTCTCTCTCTCTCTCTCTCTCTCTCTCTCTCTCTCTCTCTCTCTCTCTCTCTCTCTCTCTCTCTCTCTCTCTCTCTCTCTCTCTCTCTCTCTCTCTCTCTCTCTCTCTCTCTCTCTCTCTCTCTCTCTCTCTCTCTCTCTCTCTCTCCTCTCTCTCTCTCTCTCTCCCTCCCTCCCTCCCTCCTCCCTCCATAAATTTTCCATGGGTCAGCTACGACCACCCGTAGTGTGTGCTATGACTGGTAGCTGCACCCAGAAAAGCCTTTTTTTTTCTAGTTTAATGCTATCACTTGCTATTCATCCATGATTCCAGCCAAAACTTAACATAAACATATTCCACCATGAGAAACATGGCAAAATACATCAAATAAAACACGCAAGCATTTACATAAACACATTCATAATCAAGCATTTAAACATGTCATGAAATCAAAGAAAGTAATCAAGTTTCATGAACTCAAATCCAACACCAACATACAATGAACCTAGGGTGTTCTAATCACAAATTAAACCCTAAAGAAACCCATCATATTTGGGAGAAAATATGAGTTTAAAGAAGATGAGATGATCCAACTTTTTAAGTTTCCTCTTACTTCAAGACCTCCAAAACTCCCACATGCAAGCAAGATTTCCCTCTAAACTGAATAAAAAATTCTTCTCTCATCTCCCTTATTCTCTCTACTAGACCTCTCACTCTCCCTTGGATCTCAAAATCAGATCTTGGTGGGGGAAAAAAGAATGAAAAAAAGACTTTTTTAAAAAAAAAAATTGGTCTAAGCACTTGCCATTGGAAGGACTAAATTGCCTCAGTAATTAAGCTCGAATTAATAATGATGCCACTAATAAAGTTAGCCTTAAATTTTTAAATGCTTAAACCTACCTTCCACTCATAAACTCTAACCACTAAACATAATTAGGTATGAAAAGGAAGGATATTACATTCCCCTCTTAATTCAAGTTTCGCCCTCAAAATTTAAAGAATTACCTGAAGAGATAATGGTAGCTTGTCTGCATTTTCGACTCTAGCTCCAAAGTAGACTCGCATGAATGTGACTTTTCCCACAATACCTTCACTAGAGGTATCTCCTTATTCCCGGGTGATTTGACGACATGATCCATAATATGGCTAGGTTGCGGTTGAAAGGTGAGATCTGCTATAACTTCAACCGTATCTGGAAGGATAAGTTGAAAAGGATATATTGCACTCATGTTGTCTTCAAACTAAAGTTTTTTAGTGAAAATTACTTACTAATTATCCTTGTTTATAATGTATAGAAGTTGTACAAAGGTAAGACATAACATGAATTATTTTTTTCTTTTACTCTTAACTGTCAAGTGAAACAGAATCTGTGATTCCAAAAACATATTTGATCCCACTTCCATGTCCTTACAAAATGGATATTACAGAATAACCTTACAAAATTTGTTCCATTTTGAAATATTCTCCTTAGCAATTGATTCATGATGTATTATCTCAAAGGCATTATTCAGATACTGCATTAACTTTTGCTCATCTATGAACCCTTCTTGTGTTGCAATAGTTACTCTTAACATTCCCATATAACTCATGATTGTAATGACAAGACTCTGCAACAATCAAAGTAGATTATTCTCTTAACAATTCATATACTTTGTGTAATGGAAACCAATCCCATCGCCCACTAGCGGGAGACCTATTTAAATTGATCTTAATCTGTATGGACTGGTCCAACACAAGGATTGTTGCCACCTAGTAAGATTCGAACCTAAGAGTTTGAAAGCAGCACACTCTCAGATCCCAAGCCTCCGCCAACTGATCAACCTTTGAACGCAAAAGTAAAGGAGTTAATTTACCTGAGGAATGCCGGCCAACGTAAAGAAGAAACCTCCTATAGGATGATTTGCCCAAGCCATTTGCTCAATTGGTCCAGCCACATTTGAGATCAGCAAGCTTGATTTTCTCATTGTTCCATGAATATATTTAGCCAAAGCCTACAACAAAACAAAAAATTTATGCAAAAAAAGTACATAATCAAATCCTTATCTGCTGTTTGTAACTCACCTCAGGTCCTTCAAGCTTATTCTTCATCCGGAGAAGCTTGGTAATCAAAGGAGGAGCGTAAGAAGTTTTCTTCCTCTTGATTGAAGTGTGCGCTTTCCTAACAAATTGAAGTGGACTCGAAATCGAAATGTCTTGTAATTTCGGTACTGATACATGATAATATGTAATCTGGTTACCCCAATCACCATTTCCAGTCTTGAACATATCTTGCACTCTCTTGTAATCTTTAACTTTCCTTGTGTTTGCTATCACCAATGCGGTTGAATTCAATTCTCTTGATCTATAGTCAATATTTCGCATGTAAAGCCTAATCCCGTAGAAGATTATTCCCGTAATCGCGTCATTTATCGTCTGCAATATATAAACAAAGCTCATCATATTTGTAGGAGTAAACAACATATTGAAGCCTAAAATAATCTTACCACTCCAAGATTAGACTTAATTTCTTTGATATGATCCATCGAAAAAGCGATGTTTGATAACTTGATCGACTGAAACTCAACCGCTTCAACTCCTGACCTTATTGGAGTTTCATCATCTTCAAAAAATGTACTTTTTAGAAGACTCCATCCAAACTCAGACACGAAATTGAAAGGCGTGGAGAGAAGCCGAGACATTCTCTTCGTGAATCTGCTAATATTTTTCGGTTTCGAAGATGATTTAAGTGATGGAAAGGACAAAGGGAGAGAAGTGTCATCAGCTCTTTGGAGGCTAGAAAGAATAACACCCATGAGACTATAACCATCTCCAATTGCATGATGAAATTTGAACACCAAAGTTCCTGAAGCATTGCTTGTAGGGTATTTGATTACATGCACTTGCCATAATGGCTTTGTGGGTGATAAATTCTCCATTAATATCTTTGATATATATTCACCAAAATGATTGTCATATGAATCATCTGACATGCCATCAATGAATTTGGGTTCAATGATATGTTCCTCCAACTTCACTTCAACTCGTTTCCATCTTTTCACTCCTCTTTCATCATCAACCTGCTTTCATTTCAACATTAAAAACATCTACAAAACCATAAAAATGTGAAACAAGTCTATACAGAGCCGTCTTAAGTTTCAGAGGAACAAGTGTACACAGAGCCGTCTTAAGTTTCAGTGGTCATATTTGTTATGGTTTAACCTAGACAAATATTTTATGAAATCCTTTTAGTCACATTTTAACCGTATTAAATTTTAGTCTGTGTTTGATAGCCCATCTTGCTGATCCTCAAAGACGGCTCTAGCTCTAGCTTGCATATAATTTAGAGAGAGGGGAAGGGAGAACCATTATAGAGGTGAAGTGAGGGATGGAAAGAAAAGCATCTTGAAGCAAAGAGAGAATTGGCAAGTCATGGATTGGAACTTGAAATTCTAAGAATGCAAGAATGTACAAAGATAGACAAGTGTTGTCAAAACATTGTCCATTGGGACTCACTGCCTCGTTCAACTCTTCTTCAAAATACTCCATTGTAAATAAAGTTTTTTTATTTAAAATTTAATGAAAATTTCAAAATATTATAAGATCATTACAGTCAAATTAATTTAATAAAGGAAATTTAGAAAAAAAACTCAAATTATCAAGATTTAAGGATGAAATGACTTTTCATGAATATCATAGGATAGGATTAGCAGGTTGAATTGCTAGGGTCAAATTAACCCTGAAAATGATTTTAAAATTCGTTTTAAAGTAAAAATAAATATAAACTTAGGTCATCAAGCGGAAGTTAAACCCCAAAAAATATAATTATAATTTATTTACAAAGATTTGAATTATCAAGAAGCCAGAGTTAAAATAATTTTATAAATAAATAAATATATTTTTAATTTTCTTTATTTAATCTTTTATTTTATCTATATGACATATATGACCCAATTCTACTATTATCACACACTATATATATATATATATATATATATATATATATATATATATATATATATATATATATATATATATATATATATATATATATATATATATATATATATATATATATATATATATATATATATATATATATATATATATATATATATATATATATATATATATATATATATATATATATATATATATTATTTATCTATTTATTCCATTTATGTCTTCTCGGTGCAGTCAGACGATCTAATGAAAACTAATAAGATAAAAAATATTAAAATCAAACTAACAATATAAAGAACTTAAAAGACAATATGCAAAAGTCACATCCTTTTAACGTAATTTGCAAGACAGAGAATTAGTAAAATAATTTAAAATAAAATGAATATTGTATCTAGAAAAGAGTCAAAAACCTTTACAAAAACTCTAAAATAAAAACAACAAAAAAGTAAGTAAATTATTTGTTTCACCGTTTAATAGGAACAAAAGTTAGATGAAAATAGGTCACATCGATATAGAGTGTTCGATCGAGTGATTCACTCGAGTTATAAAAAAAAAGTATAGTTTGATTTTGTTCGATTGATTTTTAAAAAATAAATTAATGCGGTTTAAATTGATTTGAGTTTTTCAAGATTTTTAGTGAAGCATAAATATATTGACACATATAGAAAATAATATAATTTTATGTTTAATCATTCGTACATGATCATAAAATAAGTTTAAAATTGTCTAAACAAATTCATGATTTGATGCAAAAATCTAAATTGCGTCTTACAATTTTATCATACATTTAGAAAATAGTATATATAAAATTTCATTTTTAAATAATTTGAGTTACTATATTATTGTATAGTTATAAGTAAGTGCATATAATTTCTTTTTTATTACCACTATTTTATGTATAAAGAAATATAAAAATTGTTCTGGTCTGGGCTCCGGCTTAACCGGGCAAGCCCAGCCCAATGACATTTAGGCCCAATCCGACTTAGGCTACATCCGTCGAGCATATGGTTCCCGCCGGGCAGACAATGGCCCCTCCGCGGGCAGAACCTTCTCCCTTGTCGAGCAGAACAACGTGTCCTTCACACGTTCTACACGTGCTCCCCTCCGCGGGGACACGTCATCAACCAACTGCCCACCTCCGAAAGAGCAGGTCAACCCACTCTCTGAAGTTCACGGAGCAGTTGAACTAGGGCGAAGACCACGTTCTGGTCTTCACTACGCCACGTAAGCCCTAGCAGTCACTTGGGTTGGGCCTGACCCCCCCAGCCCAACTCAAATGATCGTTGGCCCTACGCTGGGGTCTCACTATAAATACCCTATTTCACTAGAGGGTCAGGTATTCTCTTCTTACCCCTTTTCTGTATTTGCTGTCACTCTGTCCAAACTCTTACTTTGGCATCGAAGCGTCTTGCAGGTACACCCCCATCTCCTTCTCAACACCGGTGAACAGGCAGCAGATCAACGGCGTGTGGCAAGTCCATGGTCCCCTTCTGATCAGGTCAGATCAGTAGCGCCGTTTGTGGGAAACATAAAACTTCCTCGTTCCTCCGAGCAGAGTTCCAAAGTTTCATCAACATTTCACGATCGTGTCTAGCCCACACCATGACGATGCCGTTCACGACCTCATCCACGCTCCTGCCGCGAACGGTGGCAAGCAAACGGGGGCTTCCCAACCTCTGGAGACTGACGAGAGGGACGGCCAGACTGCCTCTCCCTCGTCCGAAGAAGCTGCACACCAGACTGTTCTTCGACCAAGGAGCCCGACAGCGTTCCAACCCATCCCTGTCCCGGCTGGAGCAGACCCGACGGTGGCTGCCCTCTTCGCGGCCATCAACCAAACAAACCAGTTGCTGTTTTAACAGAACGCACGGATTGGCGCACTAGACCACGAAGCCCCGTTGAGGTCCCCTCCACGGGAAGACCAGAACGGAAACTCGAGGAGCCCGTCCCCTCGTCCCAGAAATTGTCGACCTCGACTAGAGAGGCCTCAACCCGAAGCAGTGCGAGAACGAACCAGGTCGCCCAGGAGACAAGTCCGGGAGCAACGGCCGGCCAGGGTGGATCCCCCGGCCAGACCTCCGCGGGTCGAACCCCCAGTCAGGCGGCAGAGGGCACGAAATCAAGCGCCTCCGCCACCAGTGTCATCACCCCCTCAGTCGCCAATTCTCAGTGACGAGGACGACTACAGGACTCCCCTGTCTCGGGAGATCATGGCGGCTCCCATCCCCCACAGAATGGAGAAGCCCCAAGCATTCTCGACGTATGACGGTACCTCCGACCCAGACGACCACCTGGAGGATATCAAGGCCATGCTCGATTACCGAAATGTCCGAGGAGCTATCAAGTGCAGACTCTTCCCGACGACGCTGAGGAAGGGTGCCATGACGTGGTACAAAAGTCTAGAGCCAGAATCCTTCACATCGTGGAGGGTCCTGAAGGACCTCTTTTCAAGACACTTCACAGCATCCCAGCGCCACCCGAAGACAGAGGCTACGCTGGGCGCCATAATCCAGGCCCCCGACGAACCCCTCCGAAAAAACATCGAAAGGTTCACCCGGGAGGCAGTTGTTAGAACAGTGGTAGAGTGTTGGGTTTTTGTTATCCTATCCACAGGGAATCTGAGATATTATCGTCGTTCCACAGTTGCCAAGTTCTTAACTTTATAGTAACAAAAGGGGTTTGGTTTTTAGTCACGGTATCTTGCATAAGAAGTAATAAATTGCGGTAAAAGATTGGTTTTACGATTTAATAAAGATTGTCAAAGTTAGGGTTCGGTAATCACTTTGCTTGTATATGTTCGATCAACAATACGCATAAACTCCTTTAGATGATAGACACATTCACAACATCCTCCCAATGTGATTATTTCTAACTCACATTGTGATTTTTCCCATTTTGATCCATTGTTGATTTCTCATGCAATCTATCAAAATGACAACATTTAGGTTTAACATTTTCATGAACAACCACATTCAAAACTATTTCTAGCTTAAGAAAATAGATGGGTAAAAACCTAGGTCAAGAGTTGGAAAATATCTTTCAATCATAAACTAACACAAAGAGTTATAAATAAAGCAAGGTTTTCACCATATATTCATCATCAAAGAATTTACAAATGAAAATCATCCATATACATACAAAGCTTAATGATCACCTACATCTAACCTTGACAAAATGAAGAACTTAGCTACTCATTTTCATGGTAGCTTGCACAAGAAGTTTCGGAAGAAGGTTAATGAACATCCGAGTCAAAGAATCCAACTTAGATGAGAATCCACCTTCTTTTTGTAGAATAATGTTAAGAGATGAAGAAATGAGAGATATTGGGTTTCTAGGGCACACAAATCTCTTTTGGAGCAAAACTAGTAAAAACTATGGTATGGTCTCAAAAAGTACACATTGCTATTTATAGAAAAAGTTGATGTCCTGTCACGCTCGCGACCTTGTTCGCCTAGCAAGCTAACAACGAACGCTCGCTACAGCCTCGCCTAGCGAACATGTTAGCGAGGAATGAGGATTTGATTCTGGAATGCTTCACCACTTGCTCGCTAGGTGCTCGCCTAGCGAGTTCTTCGCCACCTTCCTCGCTGCCAGCGAATGATGCCAATTTGATTCTACCCAAGTCTGGGAGTGTTCTCTAGCAGCTCGCTACGAGCTCGCCTAGCGAACAACTCGCTGCGACACTTGCCAAATGTTTGCCTAGCGAACATGCTTTTGCTCTTGTTCTTTCTTGATTCCTTTGTTAGCTTTCTTGTGTCTTCAAATTCTACTCTTTCATGCTCAAATACTGCACAATAACACACAAATTAAAAGGACCAAGAGCATTTCACATAATGTTGCATATCAACAAAAGCAAGGTGATTTTGAACAGAAACTAGACAAAAAGGAGCGAAAGATGCCCACATTTGATACCTCAAATAAGCACAATTGGGCATCTAACAACTCTCCCCAACTAGAATCTTGCTTGCCCTCAAGCAAAGTATGCCTTTAGAAGAACAAGAGCAAAAGCGACTCAACTAGATACAAGTCTCCAATGGTTAGAACAACACAATACACAAAAACTAAATTTTTAAAGCAATACAAAACATGCATCAATCCACAACAATGATATCCTGAATGAATCACCCTATCACTCCTCTTTGAATAAGGATTGAAGAGATCACGCGTTTACAACCGCGGGTGCAATCTCACTCTCCAACGAACAATGCCAAACTCAATTCAATTTATACAATGTCTAACAATTATAAATGAAAATGCGGAAGCACGAAGATCACTAAGGTCTTTTCTGGTAGTAGCTTGGTTAGGTTTACAAACAAGGGATATATCTAAGGCCAATGAAAACGAAGTTGCCGATGCAAAAGAGACATTCACTGTACAACTTATTCACACATCTCAACTTCATTTAACTTATTTCTCATTTGAAACCTTCACAACTCTTATTTCACAACTCAATTTTTTCAATATTTTTCTTCCAAGCAAGCATTCATTTTCATTCTTTTCTTTTGATCACTTTTTTTTTCTTTTTCACACCGTATTCACAAAACAAGTGTTTTTCTTTTTCTAATTTCTTTTCAATGCTTGCTTGG